CCGCCGCGATGGCGCCCGGGCGAAAGACGGTTGCCGGGAGGTCTTGGACCGCGAGGGTAGGCCGCGGCTGGCGGGAGCGGGGCGGGGGCGGCGGCAGGGAGCGGGCCCCGGGGCCCGGAGCGGTGACTGAGCCGTGTGCGTCCCATCCGCGGTGGAACGGCGGATCGAGCGGATTCGGGCGGACGGGGAGCGGCTCATCAAGGAGGTGGAGCACCTGTACGACATGGAGATCCCGCGGCTGCGGCCGGAGATCCGCGAGATGAACTGGGTCGAGTGCTTCGGGGCGGGGCGGGGCGGTACCGGGCTGGCGGGGACGCGTTTTCCCTGAGGAAATACCCCTAAGGGCGGCAAAGGGATCTCTGCCCGGAACCCCCCGGGCTGCCGAGGTGCTGCTCGCTCGCTGCCGAGAAAAGGGGTTTGTGCTGGTTTTTCCCCCCCGGTGGTGACGCGACACAGCGTGTCTGCCCGCGCCGCTCGCTTAGATGTGGATTGATTTTTTAAAAAACATTTTCTTTTCAGCTAAAGGAGGAAGCACAAAGGTGTTGGAAGAGGCAGCAGCGGTAGGTTTCTAACAGAAATACTCTTTTGATGGCGCTTGCACCTCTGTAGCAAAGGAAGAGCTTCTTGAGTCTGTAGGAGCCCTGCAATAGCAGAACACATAAATACTTTCACAAATGCTGCTTTAAGACTTAACAGTAAGAGGTGTCTGTTGTACACAATATAGGCTTTGCATGCTCATACTGCACCTTGTCGATCCTGCCTTACCTGCTTGATTTTCCTCCCCAGATCCCTGAGAGCACACACATTTTTCAGTAAACTAAAACACTTCTGAATTGGTTGAGGAGAAGGGCGGCAGTGGAGCATACCTGCAGCTGCCAAATAAGGCACATTAGTCCTGAATGGCCTGCAGACTTCACGTGGTTTTGTCACCTCCAGAATAACCCAAAAGGTCTTAGTTTGAGCACAGCAGAAGACACGGAGGTATTCTCGCTGTAAAACAATTAGGGATTTGCTTTACAACTTGGATTTCTGAGAACTATCTGCTACCAGTAACCCTAATGGTGTTGTGATTGTTTTTAATTTTAGGCAGCCTTGGGAATAACAAAAATAGACAAGTTAACAGCAGAAGTTATCCAAACTCCTTTAAAAATCATCAAGAAAGGTCAGTTTGTTTTAAGTATTGTGATGAGTTCAGTCAGATGAAAGCGTGCTGTGATTTACATGCTGTGAATAATAATTCAGTTCTTACTTACACCCCTCAATATATTTAAAGACAGGAGAACAATCCTATGTTTATCCCTGCTTTCTGCAGTAGCTCTTCTTAATTTTATTAAACACTCAAAATAGTGCTCTGTCAAGTATAGTAATCCGTCAGGATTACATTGGAGTTTGGATTTCAGAAGCAAATTGTTGCCAAAAATGCTTGTAGTTGTTTACTGTTTACCACAGCTGCTAAATAATAATGTAAAGTTACGTATTTTCAACTTAGATGACACTTTCTCTTTCTAGTGGAAAAATCTAAACAGGATATTGAAGAAGGAGAGCCTCCTTTGCTTCCTCTTGCAACAGAAAACCATGATAGCCAGTGTCTGCCAGATCCAGAAGCTGAAAACATTAATCCAAGAACTGGAAAGGTAAATAGCTTCTCTTTCTGATGACTTCATTCCCAAGATATGAGCTACTTTCTGAGGTGATGCCTGTGGCAGTATAACTGTCCAGGATACTTTGAGGGGGACTTCAAACCAGGTATCGCTTCCTGAAATGCCTGGAGATAGGGGAGTGTCCTGGTTTGAGGTAAAACAGAACTAATTTTCTGTTCAGTAATTTTAATTTTTTAGCTGGGCCTCTTCTAACTAAACTCCGAAATTAACAGCATATTGTTCAGAGACTGTTCACTCCCACAGTGATAAGACCTGATTATACCAAGGAATGGTGTGCAGAGAGGCCCCTGCTTATACTTATTGCTATAACAACCAAGGTCAGGCAAATTTGTTATTTGCCCCGTTGGAGGGTCGGAAGCGGAAAAGCGTAGAGGGGTCCCACCTGTAGGGAGGAACGGACAGGACAGGTGACCCAAACCTGACCAACAGGGTATTCCATCCCATCTGCATCATGCTCAGTATAAAAGCTGAGGGATCAAAGGGTCAACTCTCTTCCTTCAATGGCCGACGTCCCAGGGGGACCCTGTTTGTTCGTCTGCCTTTGATCCCGATCCGAGCGTTCCTGACTCCAGATCTGGAATCCGATTCCTGTCCATCACCGAGTCCAGCCTGGGACTTTCCCCTGCGCCTGCTGGTGACGTGATCATCATCCTGGGAGCTTGATATGGTTTTGTATATACTGTATACTATTTTCTGTATTTCTTTTTTTTCCTTTTCTTCTTCTTATTATTATTTCATGATTCATTTATATTTTCATTAAAATAGTTTATTTTTTTTCTAAACTCATAAATTTTTTCCCCCTCTTCCTCTCCTTTCTTTTCCTTGAGGGGGGAGGGAGGGGCCATCTGTCGTTCTGGTTCGTCAATTCAGTCAAAACCACAACAGGGAGGGTCACAGAAGCTTGGATGGTGTTTGTTTCTGGACTCTCTTACGCCACAAAAAGGAGCCTGTTGAGCCAAAGGTTTTGTGTGGAAGCATTTGCTTGTTGTAGAGTCAGCTGTCACATGACAGCAAAGTAACTGATTTGGTGAGTAATGTGTGTTTCAGGTGAAGGCATCCACTAAAAAAGTGCCAGTGGCCAGGAGCAGAAGAGCTCCTTTAGTGAGAGTGAAGCGTGTGAGTAAAAGGTAGTAGGAGATTATCTTTTTCACTCATTTCCAGAAGTGGAGCATAAGTGCATAGTGCTAATACAACTCTTAAATGGAATGGAATATGGTTTAGTAGGCTGGTTGATGGAGTTGTGCCATGCTGTAGGAGAAAAAGTGATCTGACAGTGAATGAGAGATGGGCAGCTTCCTCTCCTGTGGTGATGAGCTATGTGTAGCTTTGGGGTTTACCTTTGATTAGTAAGAAGCTCTGGTTTTCTGTGGTGATAACCTCATTCAAGCCTTTGATAAGATAATGCTTGTACATTTGTTAAAAGTGTTCATATGAGATGTTTGTTTATTTCCCTGGACACAGGTCAAGCAAAAGCAACTTTATTACTCCAGCTACTGGCAGAACTGTTGATCTGTGTGCTCTGGGAGGTACCTCCATGGTCACACCCAAAGTTGATTTCCAGGTTTGTATTCTGTTAACCTCTTACATGTAGGAGAGTCCCTTACCAGTTGCTTTATAGAATCATAGAATGGTTTGGGTGGGAAGGGCCCTTAAAGCTCCCCCTGCCCTGGGCAGGGACACCTCCCACCAGACCAGGTTGCTCCAAGCCCCCTCCAATCTGCCCTTGAACCCCTCCAGGGATGGGGCAGCCACAGCTTCTCTGG